TGCTGCTTTTTTGCAGCCCTCAGCCAGCTGAAGTAGGTCCCAGCTGTTGTCCAGTTGATATAAGCTACACTTCTTTCCTTTGCTAAATACTGAATGAAGTTTCTATACAAGTTTGCATTCTTATACCAGTCTTTGGAAATGTCAAGCCTGCTTGAAGCAGACCAAAAACAAGTCAAAAGAAGGTCAACTGCACATCAAATGCACATGTCAATGAATCAATGAATTCTGAATCATCTCAGAAGTGTCTCAAACTTATGTCAAGGTGATGTCATTGACCAACACCCAACTCCCATGGGTCTTTAAGTGACCCTGTCACTAGGGTGAATAAAAAAAAATTCCAGCCAACATGTAAAAGAAGATGTGCAGTAGGGAAGTGACAAATTTTGGCCCTCTTGAGGAGCTCCAGAAACTTGTGGTATAGAACACGGCTTCCGCAGGGCGCTATGGTTCCTCCTGCTGGCTACTATGCCACTACTCTCTCCTGTCCACATTTGAGTTTGTCATGATTGTGCAAAAGAATATTAAAATGTACTAAAAACAAAACATAAAATACAAGGTTATATTTTTATAAAGCAGTGGAAAGAGAAATTGTAATGTTAACTTTCAGTAATTTGAAAACCGCATTCTAAAATCTGGTTGATATGTGTAACTGCACTTTGCACAACATGAAAATCCTTAAGTATATGTGGGGGTGAAGTCTTATTGATATCACACCACTCGAGGTATCATCCCTAATTTCACATGATCAAAGGAAGAAAAAGTACATATATCTGAGACTTTAAAGCTGAACTCCAAGCAGAATTTTGTTCCCCTGTTGTTACTTGTGCTTTCCTACCTTGAGGAGATACACTATATTGCCAAAAGTATTGGGACACCTACCTTTACACACACATGAACTTTAATGGCATCCAAGTCTTATGCAGGTCATAGACAGTTCGTTTACCGGCCGATTTTTAGTGGGGCAATGGCATCAGCCGATTTTCGCGGTTCCTCCTCATTTCTTTTGTTTGGTCATGCTGGAAAATTTGTTAAAAAATGGCCAATTTTCACAGTCATTGGTGGCAACAGAACGACAGATGTTTAGTTTTTCAGACGGAAAATTGTCCGATAAACAAACTGTCTATGGCCTGCATTAGTCCATAGGGTTCAATATTGACTTGACCAACCCTTTGCAGCTAAAACAGCTTTAACTCTTCTGGGAAGGCTGTCCACAAGGTTTAGGAGTGTGTCTATAGGAATGTTTGACCATTCTTCCATTTGTGAGGTCAGGCACTGATGTCGGATGAGAAGGCCTGGCTTGCAGTCTCCACTCTAATTCATCCCAAAGGTGTTCAGATGGGTTGAGGTCAGGACTCTGTGCAGGACAGTCAAGTTCCTCCACCCTAAACTCGCTCATCCATGTCTTTATGGACCTTGCTTTGTGCACTGGTGTGTAGTCATGTTGGAACAGGAAGGGGCCATCCCCAAACTGTTCCCACAAAGTTGGGAGCATGAAATTGTCAAAAATGTCCTAGTATGCTGATGCCCTAAGAATTTCCTTCACTGGAACTAAGAGGCCAAGCCCAACCCCTGAAAAAAATCCCACACCATAATCCCCCCTCCACCAAACTTTACACTTGGCACAATGCAGTCAGGCAAGTACCGTTATCCTGGCCAGTTGCAAACCCAAACACGTCCATCGGATGGCCATACAGGAAGCGTGATTCATCACTCCAGAGAACGCGTCTCCACTGCTCCATTGGTGGCGTGCTTTACACCACTGCATCTGACGCTTTGCATTGCAACCTGGTGATATAAGGCTTGGATGCAGCTGCTCAGACATGGAAACCCATTCTATGAAGCTCTCAACGCACTGTTGTTGGGATAATCTGAAGACCATATGAAGCTTGGAGGTCTTTAGCTATTGACTCTGCAGACAGTTGGCGACTTCTGCAAACTGTGCGCTTCAGCATGTGCTGACCGTGCTCTGTCATTTTATGTGGCCTACCACTTGGTGGCTGAGTTGCTGTTGTTCCCAATTGCTTTCACTTTGTTATAATACCACTAACAGTTGACTGAAAATTTAGTATCAAGGAAATTTCATGAATGGACTTATTACGGTACCATTCTTGAATTCACTAAGCTCCTGCGAGTGACCCATTCTTTCACAAATGTTTGTAGAAGCAGTCTGCATGCCTAGGTGCTTGATTTTATACACATGTGGCCATGGAGGTGATTGGAACACCTGAATTCAATGATTTGGAGGGGTGTCCCAATACTTTTGGCAATATAGTGCATGTCCTTAATTTCTTTCCTCAGTCTTAAATCTAAGATAAAATGTGTGCATTTTTTGAATCACAAGTTTCATTCCCTATGATTTCTGTTTTGCAAGACCGGTGGTTATTATCTCCACTATTGCTCTAGCCACCTGGTCTTGTAACTTCCCCGCTGTAGTTCTGTTACAGCAGGCAGGGATGTAACTACGTCCCTGCTCACTGAAGTGGGAAGACCCAGGAGTCTCAGATTCCCAGTTTGAACTGCCCACTGCTGATGCGTCTCCCAATGAAAGTCCTGCTGAGCCCAAGCTCCGCCCACACACACGGCTACTGCAACCTCCATTTCCCCTAGGCATTGTGGGAAATGCAGTGCGGGTTCTCTGCATGGATGTGACATTCAGACATCAGAAAGTCCTCCCCCTGGGGCCCAGAAGTAGCACATTATTTCGAAGAACATGATGACATCACTGGGGCAGAAAATTGGCTATTACATGAAAAGTCAGTAATTTTCATTAACACTCTCTCAGCAATCTAGTAAACCCTGGTGAGAGGGATCTGAAAATGCAAAAACAGCAGGGTCCTGCAGTTCTTCATTAAATATACCTCCAATGGTAAAAACATAAAACAATTTGTAGAAAAATTTTTACTTTATTACAACATATCCATAACATACAAGTTAAAGCACTTTAAAACTCCATCTTTAAATGGTTTACAGTACCAAGATATAGTTATCAGCCAACAATGTATAACTGGTGGGCGGTTATTCCCCCATGGGCTGGTGAGACTTATCTGGGGCTATTTCCTCATGTGTTTAATAGTTGTATTCACATCGTATTAAAGGTGAATATATGGTATTATTTTACTTTATTATTATTCATTCATTAACATTGGCTTTGTTTTTTTCCTCCCTCTCTCTCCTTTTCCAACGGGCACAGGGTGTTTTTGGTAGTTTGAATAACTGTAACTTGGTTTTGTAATGATTGTTTCTGTATACTGTCTAAAATATATATATTTTTAATGTGATTTGAGCTTGCTTTTCATTTGTACTGAGATCCAAGATCCTGATGAAGTGGGTGTTTTAAAGTGCTTTTAACTTGTATGCCATTAATATGTTGTAATAAAGTCATACAAATTGTTTTAAGTTTTAACATTGAAGGTATATTTAAAGTCCCAGCTATATGTACTTTGCACAACATGGTCGTCATCATCATCATCAATTAACTTCTTTAACCCCTTGGCGCTGGCGCCTCCTGGCCCTTTAAGGGTTTCAGAAGCCAGGAGGTGGGACGGCGGTCACATGATCGGGAAAGGTCCCGATCCAAAGAGGAGATCGGGACCTTTCCGTGAGTACTGGTCACGTGTGCTGGGAGCGTGCTCTCAGCACATATGTTTTTCTTAATTGCACGCAAATGTGCGGCCGCTCGGCGCCAAGGCCCAGACGCAAAGAGGTTAAATTGCTCCCTTTGGGCTGCTAAATATAACATCGAAAGTGTTTGTAGTATCTGTTTGACAAGTGCTTGATAGCTTAGTGGTTGTTTATATTAGACAGATTTTCTTGCCAGAAATCCAGTGCTGTCTTGTGAACTCTACAACTTTATCTTAAGCATTGTTATCCTCTTCTTGGGTCCCCTGCTGAGTGCCCCCATAGCAAGCCACTTGCTATGGGGGCACTCGCATGGGCTCGCTCTCGAGCCAGCTCTGTGTACATTGACACACAAAGCTTTTCTAGGCCCCAGCCTCCTCTCTCTCCTCACTGGCTGAGATTGGCAGCAGCAGGAGCCAATGGCTCATGCTGCTGTCAGTCTGAGCCAGTGAGAAGGAAGAGAGCAGAGAGAGTCTCTGCTCTCATGTACAGCGCTGGATCAAGATTGGGCTCAGGTAAGTATAAGGAGATCTGGTGGTAGGAATTGCACACTGAAGCTTGTTTACCTTCAAGCAGAGAATGCATTAAGGTAAAAAAAAAACCTTCAGGCTTTAGAACCACTATAAAGACTGCAACACTTCCCCAAGTAAAGTGACCTAAAATTCAATCCAATATGTTTCCTTAACTCAGAAAAGTGTCATCTTTTGCCTGCTGCCTCCTCCAAATGCCTTTCTTTTTTTTGTGATTTGAGCTCCTTTTAGAGGGAGTCTATGTTTGTTTTCTACATGGTCCCATTGTGAGTGGGTGCTGTCACCGTAGGACAGAAAGTATGTAACTGGCTACATGTAAAAATGAGGAAAAGATGCCTAAAACAAAAAAGAAATGGGATGCTGCTACCACATCTGAAAACTGGTAAACTGCAATTATATTACACTGTCGTGCTTGTGTTTAGATACACTTTAATTCAATCATTTAACATTTTTATCATAAACCAAAAAAATATGATGTGAAGTTAGAACAAAGCAGCCAATCAGATTTCAGTGTTTTCAGTTTAGGCTAGGTTCACCACTGCAGGACCTGCACCTCTTCTTGCAGATGCAACCATCTGCTCAGTGAAACGCAGGAGCTGCGAATGAGTGCTATTAATCCTAATGGCACATGGCCCGCACTGGGAATTGCACTGTACTTGCACTTCACATTCGGGCTGTGCTTCAAAAATAATGCAGGGAATTTTTTCCTGTGTTTCACGAGGCACAGCAACCCATTCAAATGAATGTGAACCTAGGATTAACGTGGTCAGAACAAGGACAGTTGGTTTCTTGTGGCACTTTGATCATTCTAATATCCAAATAACATTTAAATTTTGTGTTCCAGGAGGATATATGGAGCCACTTCCAGAACCTGAGGAACCAGACAGAGAGGATCGCAGACCTCGGCCTGGTAAGTGAGTTCTCCTTTATTCATACAACTATCATCCAACCATGTGACCACTAATGCAGTAGGAGACAGTACACAGCAAAGAAAACTGGCCACAAAGGCCCCTTTGTCTGGCTGCCTAATGATTTATCCAGACATGGAAAGCATTAGCACGAAAATTAGTATAACATTACTACAAGTACTGTATAGTTCAAACACATGCTGGATCACTATGAATCAACTTAGTATTCTACAATTTCATCCAGGAGTCTAGGCTGTCTATAGAAATGAGATCATTGCCCAATCTAGCTAGGCTGGACAATGATATTAATTAATATCAATGGCCAGATGTGAGCAGTCACTCCGATCTAAACTCCAAGCAAAATTCAATCTGCCAGATGGGGTTTTCCAAACTGCTTTTGTGCATAAGTTAAGCTAGTGGTTTCATTGGACTGAAACACCAATGGTTGCGCAACATGAGCATGGATGTTAATGCAAAAATTGCCAGAAGAAAATTCATTTAGTATACATAGTTCAACCACTATTTAATTTCTATGGTCAGTTTAAAGGAAACCTGCGCTAAAAGAAACATAGAGATTGCCTCTGTTGACCTCCATTAGAACAAGCTAGTTGCTTGGCTGAAAGTTAGGAGCCAGCAATAATATGGGTTTATCAGTGTAGGCTCTATACCCTCTCCCCCTTTCCCCATGCTAAATGCCTTGTACCTGGTTCTATACTCACCTGAGTCCTTAATCAAGTTATCTTCACTGTGTAATCCTACCAGGCACTGTACTGTACTGCCTTGCTTCTAAAAACCTCCCTGCTGGGGCATCTTCAGCCCTATTCATTCTTATGAGGAGCAGTACTCATGGTAGTCCCCAGTGGTTCTGCAGAGTACATCTGCCCCCCATAGGAATAAAATGGGGCCAGGGCACATTTGTGTAGGTTGAAGAGGGCCCAGTGAGGACATTTACACAAGGTAAGTAAGGTACATATTGGACCAGATGGGTTGCACATAGCTGAGGGCTGTATTCCTTAAAGGAATTTTGTACCAAAGGTATAGTGGTCTTCCAATGTACACTGTATTGCCAAATGTATTGGGACACCCCTCCAAATCATTGGATTCAGGTGTTCCAATCACATCCATGGCCACAAGTGTATAAAATCAAGCACCTAGGCATGTAGACTGCTTCTACAAACATTTGTGAAAGAATGGGTTGCTCTCAGGAGCTCAGTGAATTCAAGCAACTCAGCCACGAAGTGGTAGGCCGTCTAAGATGACAGAGCGGGGTCAGCACATGCTGAAGCACACAGTGTGCAGAAGTCATCAACTGTCTGTAGAGTCAATAGCTAAAGACCTCCAAACTTTGTATGGCCTTCAGATTAGCACATCAACAGTGCATAGAGAGCTTCATGGATGGGTTACCATGGCTGAGCACCTGCATCCAAGCCTTACATCACCAAATGCAAAGCTTCAGATACAGTGGTGTAAGGCATGCTGCCACTGGACTCTAGAGTAGTGGAGACATGTTCTCTGAAGTGAGGAATCACACTTCTCTGTCTGGCATTCCGATGGACATGTCTGGGTTTGGCGGTTGCCAGGAGAATGGTACGTTCCTGACTGCATTGTGTCGAGGGTAAAATTGGGTGGAGGGGGGATTATTATGGTGTGGGGTTGTTTTTCAGAGGTTGGGCTTGGCCCCTTAGTTCTAGTGAAGGGAATACACACACTCCTAAACCTTGTGGACAGCCTTTTCAGAAGAGTTCAAGCTGTTATAACTGCAAACTGTGGGCCAACTCAATATTGAACCCTACGGACTAAGACTGGGATGCCATTAAAGTTCATGTGCGTGTAAAGGCAGGCGTCCCAATACTTTTGGCAATATAGTGTATGTATACATACCAAATGTTAAAACTTATCATATGCTGTTGATTTTTTTTGTGTTGACTATTTGAGTAAAAAAAATCTAAGTTGACTTAGTTCCTAAATTACACTCGTCATTAATATATAGGCTAATATTGCTGGCCTCCTTATGAAAATGCTAATTACCTAGCTGTGTCTGTCTTTTGAGTCAAAGACTCACAACAATCAAACACTTACTGCTCTGAAGCTTGTGAGACAGCAGGTCAGTTTATCCAGAAGGCCCTCCATGTCCTGGCAAGATACACCATAGCATCCTGAGATAGAAGATCTGCATCACCAGTTGCCCTTTCCTCCTCTCACACCATCCTGGTCATCTCTCTAGTCCTGTCCTGCCTCATCTCTCTCACACCACTACAATGTACTGCAGCCCAATCCATGCCTACCAGCACTGACTAAAAGCTGAACTCACTTTTCCCCAATGGTCAGAGAATTTAGCAGGAGGGGGAAGGCTGGAATGTAGAGCAACCAAACCACATTTCTAGTAATTACAGTGTATATTGAGCTAGTAAACAAATCAGTATGGCCATTAATCTGCCCTGGCTCAACATTCCCATAAATTTATGGGGGATAACATATTTTAATTCATAAATATGTAGTCTCTGCTTTCTGGTTGTGCTTTATGTGTACTCTGCTGGAAAACATTAATATTGTTACAAAAATGAGAAGATAGAGGCAAATCTAGGCACATGAAAGTGTCTATCACTTTTTACACATGAGCCTTCAACTAACATTTGGCTTTGTTGTATGTCTTTGCATTGTGGCATATTTCTGCTAAATTAAATTTATGATACTGGCAGCTCTTCTGCGTTTTTAGTTTAGTTTTCCTACATATGCACTAGAAAGAGAAAAAACAGTGGGCATACCTCCTTCTGCTTCTGACGGACAGGGATCTTTCTGATGAGCTAAGCAGTCTTCAAAGCTACTACTGTGCTTGGAGCTTCTCAGTTTTTTCCAACATGACACAGCCCAGCCTTAGACACTCATGTGCTTCTCAAGATTTCCATGGCCAGGCTGCAGTTAGCTCACAGATCCAAGCTCAGTTAGCCTTTTAACAACTCATCTCAGACTGCTGATTAATGTGGGTCACACAGAAAGATTCACACTTTGGAAAAGCGCTGTACACAGATTATCTACTTATAATTATAATTTGGCCAAAAGATTTTCAATTCCCTGATAGATTTTGTTATTGACTGTTCAGTCCAATAGTGGCATTGGAATATGCCCACTGCCATCTGCTATCAACCATATACAAGGCAGACCTAATGAGGAACTAATCTCAGTGTCAGGCTCCATCTACTCATCCACTGCACCTGTGGGTGCTTTTGATTGGAAATGCACAGCAGTGTGCTGATTCAAAAACTGCTAGTGACTACAAAGTCTTACTAAGGTGGTACATGGTTCCAGCCAGGATAGCCCAATGGATACCAAATGTTTTTTTCTAAGTGTTTCCGAGGATGTGGTCAGGAGGGGACAGCATATCTTGTCTGGTGGACATGCGCGAAGGTCCGTGGATTCTGGATCCACATTTATAACCTCCTTTACTCCCTTACAGGGGCAAATTTAAATAAATCCCGTGACAGGCTCTATTAGGCTGTCCTGCGAAAGGGACCCCAAGACCATCTCAACGCCTCATAACATTCATTTTCATAATGGCAAGGATCATGATAGCGAGATCTTGGAAATCGCCAGTGATCCCTTTTGACCTAGTAAAGTCTAAATTGTCCTAGATAATTTTGAAAGAACGCTTATCTGCCATTCTGCAAGACAAGTTATCAAACTTTGACAGAACTTGGGAACCTTGGACTAACTACCTTACAGGCTCCACTCAATCGGGTTAGCTGATTGCCCCCCTGAGCCGCAGTGACAGCTTGTTGATTCTCCTTTATCCTTTTTCTTCCTCCTTTCTTTTATTCAACTCCTCATTACCTATCTTTTCATTCCTACCTTTCATCTGTTTATGGTCTGTTGGCCATCTTGGAGGGCAGATCGGCACCACGGGTTGATAGACAGGTCCCCTTTCCCCCCTTGGGCGGCCGGAGCTGACGGGACTGGACCTCAGGGCTTGTGGGTGCTGAGAATATCCCCCATGTTCTGAACTGGGGAGCTAGGTATGTGGAGATCCTGTTGGAGAGTTAATGAAGATAGTTAAGAAATATTGAAGTTTAGCCTCTTAGGCTATAAGCTGAACTTTTGTATACAAGAAGGTACGTATCGTGCCTTGATACCCTTCTTTTTTTCTCTGTACTGCTTTGTACTACCGTAATTTGTGTTATTGTGTTGAAGAACGGAAAAACAAAAACTCAATAAAAATGAATGGAAAACAAAAACTGCTAGTGACTATGGAACCACCCACTGCCATGAGCTGTCAATCAAAAATAAAGTGAGCCTGATGAGGAACTAATCTTTCATGTTCCCATCAGGCTCTGCCCACCCCTTCTACAAAATGCCTCAATGCTGGTATGGACAGATTCATGTACCTGTTTCTGACAGATACATGATTTGAGCGCAAGAGCTGCCACTGTCGGAAATCTAAATAATATCTATGACACCCTTTATAACTGTGCCAGATTATGTTCATTGTGCTTTGTATGGGAATTTACACCTATCAATAGAGAACCTCTGACCTAAGGGACTGGTATGGGACTTGGGGGGACCCCACACCATTTTTTTAAATTGCTGGCAATTCTTTTGTTTACATTCAGATGTCAGTGAGAAATCCCTCTGACAGCTGATGAGTCATCTGTCTGTTCACTGATTGTTAAAGACGCTGGTGGCTGCCTGCCTGTTTCTTTATAAAAGGCTAGCGCTCTTAACCACCTTTGCAAACACTCCTTAACATTGCAAAAACACAGTCAAAAAAACGCTACATATTAGCATTTTATATCCAGCATTTGTTTGGCAGATTTTGAGCATTTAGGGGTTGATTTACTAAAGGCAAATAGACCTTACACTTTGTAAAGTGCAAGTACAGTTACGCCAGAGCTTAGTAAATGAGGAACAGCTTCACTTTCCAAAGAATACCCAATCACATGCAAATTAAAAAAAAAAAAGCAATTTTGCTTGCATGTGATTGGACGATGGAAGTCAGCAGAGCTTCTGCTCAAGTACAATGTGCACAGTCTATTTGCCTTTAGTAAATCAACCCCTTAGTGTGCATGGAGCTTTATACTTTATAGAAACTAAAACTAAAAGAGAATTCTCCCAAGAAATCCACTACAAAAAGCTGACCATTGGTAACATTACATGTCACTTAACTGTTGGTGATCTCATGTCTATAAGAGATCTCCAACCCTTCAAGCCAACCACTGGAGGTATGAGCAACTGGAAAATATATCTCTATGACAACTGTTTCCCACTGATAAGCCGGAACTATTATTTAGGTCTGCTGAGCCGATGTTACAAGTTTATGGAGTGCTTTGGAGAAAGTTAATGTGTTTTAGCTCTCTTATGTTTCAAATTCATGGAGGAAATGTGTACATGTGGTTGAGCATTGCATATTTATGGCTCAAAACATATGTTTAGCATATTGTTTCCCATTTATATGGGCCTAACACTTTTTCCATAGCACTTTGCAGGGACCATCAAACCGTTAGTCTATATTCTATGTAGAAGCTCACAGGATATTGCCCCCACCATAGTCAAACACGTGTTTTCACTGTAGAGCCAATTTAGCCTTCAAACCAGTTATCCTACTATTATGTCTCTAAAATGTTGGTAGGAATTGGAGCAATTTAACTGTTGATAGCAGTAGGCTCTTATTACCATAACACACAGTGGGTCTTGTATTCCTCTAAATGACACAATTCATACTGATTGACAATACTCTTTACTACAGGTGTGGATGTGGAGCCTCCAACTGAAGATTACAATGACCGCCTGGAGAGAGAAGATTATGATGACTGTAGGAAATCATCTGATTTATTCTTGTCCTGCTTTAAACCTTTTCACATTTCACCATTTTTGAACTGTACAGTAACAGGGAAATGCACAACAGGGTGGAAGAACGTCTGGAAAATTAGAAATCAGTAGTTAGCATTGGCTATAACAGGTGAAGTTTTCATCACTTCAACCTTCAGTGGTCAAGAGGCTCAGATCTCCTCCTTAATTTGTATTGTCAACTACCAAGGCATAGACATGATATGCATTTGTTTTTTAATGCTTAAATTACATGGTAAAATACCAGCAGGTGTGCATGATCCCTGACAATAGTCTGGTTATACTGGGGGTGCAGAATAGATTTCTATTATTATCATGTCCATGGATCTACTGTAGCTTGAAGGTGTATTGGGCAATGTAGAAGGCATTACAGAACTGTTATTTGATCCATATCCATGTATCATTTTGTGATGCGTGTTGATAGTATACTTTGTGTATATGGAGTATACTAGAAATCTATTCTAATCATGTGCATTGCCTAGGTTATGATGGGTGGTGGTAGAGTGCTAACTCTGTATGGAGTGCAAGAGAATTGTATTGTGATTAAATTTTCGGTTGTCATATCCAATGATGGGTAGTATGCACAGAGTATCAGAGGTCAGGTCATGATGGGATGTGTAGTATACAATAACCATATAATATGTAATAGAATTCTCTTATGATTATGTTTCCAAAAGGCTGGGACATTAGAATGTGCAGTTGCATTATGTATGGTGTGTATTAGAGTTCTGATATGATGATTTATCCAGTAGTTATAGCTAATGGTGGAAGGCGTAGCAGTAATATGAAAGGAATGTAATAGAATTCTGATATGACCATGTCAGGGGACAGATCATGAAGGGTAGTGTAGTGTATTATGCCCGTATAGAGTGTAATACAATTGTATTATAATGATGTATCCACTGGTCTTATACATTGATGGGAGGTGTGATGTACCATATAGAACTTCATGGAATTCTATTATTATGATGTGTCCGTTAGTCAGGTCCCAATATGAGGTGCAGAGTATAAAATAATTCTAATATGAATATGTCAGAAGTCAAGTCATGAAGAATGGTGTCCTGTACTATGCCCACATAGAGTGTAAGAGAATTGTATGTTGAATGTGTGTCCAGTAACCAGGTGGTGGAGGTGTAGTTGTCCAAGTTGAATTGTGTTATGACCTGAATTGTGTTATGACCTTGGTACTGATCAGGTTATGATGGAAAGTACTGTCTATGTGTTAGCTTTATAAAGTGTAAAGGAATTGTGTTACAGTTGTGTCCATTAGTCGGGTTGTCTTCACGTAAACTACTTTGCTTTCAATTCCCTTTACTATATTTCGGCATCTTCCATTTGATTCCATTATTTTTTTTCTCAATAGATTTCTTTATATGCTATATATTTCCTATGCAGATGGCTACAGCAGATATCCAAAAAAGCCTGAAGTGCCAGAACATAAACCTGATCGTCCCGTTGTATATGTAAAACCTACACCTAGTGAGTACCATTCTTTTACGTGTAGCTATAAACACCTGTAATGATCAGAATCCCAGATTATTGCAGTCAAAATGCAACATGTTGGCAATTGCACTCAGTATCTGTGTCTACGACTGAGACATACAGAATTGGTAGATCTGTTTTTACCTATCACAGTGATAAGATGGCAAGGAGAGGATTTACCTTCTTAAAGATGCACTGGCACCATTCAAGGAACATTTTGCATTTTCTCAGTGAATGCAAAGTTTAACTGATTGGATGAGGTGGAGGGGCAGGGAGGTGGCATTTTTATTTGAGAGTTTTGAAAGCGTATACAAGAGTTTAAGAAGTGTAATACAAATGTTTTACTTGCGTATTCAAGCTTCTGGTGTTTTTGTTTTAACCAATTGAAAGCACTAGGGGAGCAGATCATGGGTGGAGAGCTGCTGTTTGGATGGAACCGCTCAACAAACTGCTCATAAAAAGCTAATTAAAAGCTCATTTTGCATGTTTTCAGGCATTCCCATCAAAGTATGTGGTCAAAAACGTTCCAGTCTGCCTAGAACAATTCTAACAACCACTGTCAGTTCAATGTCTAAACTACAGTCAGACCTCACAATTGTCAGAGGCAACTGCTGAAACACAGCACATCAAGAGCACCCTGGGTGCTAATGCCACTGCAGAGCTCACCCAGACTCTCCACTTACACAACACATTAAAAAGATGCCTGGCTGCACATTGCATTAACAGCATTTCTAAAATATTTATTGATATAGACAAATAGACCAAAGGCCCCTATAGACAACTTGAATTTCGATTACGATTTTGATTACACAGGCCCTGCAAGCACCATGACAAAATTCAATTTGAAAATTGACTGAGCTTAATCTAGAAATGATTGGCCAAATGGAGAATACATCCTATCAGATACAGTCACTGTTCGCCAGTGCCATTGTTTTCAGGCAATCACGGATATTGTGGCTGCCTGAATACAATAGCTGGCAGTGGAGATTCCTTCATCCAAGCTGTAAGCAGGCTGAACAAGAGAAAACTGAGTCATGTATGGCAGCCTTCAAGTGGTTGTAAACCCTTACATATTGCCAGTGAAGTGACTGGCCTCAGGTGATACACAGAGATGAAGAAAATCCTTCTATATAAGTTGTACCTGTCTATCTACAGTATTCTCTTCTCTACATCTGTTGAGCTTGTCTGAAAGTTCAACAAAAAGGGGGCGGAGAGCTGAAATGACACACTGCAGGGCTCAGTTAGGGGAGCTCTGAGACCTGATTGGAGGGAAGGGACACACACCCCCTTCACACAGCTCACAGGAACAGAGCTGAGACTGTCAATCTCCTGGAGGTCCCTCCCCTGTCACAATTTTTTTCTTGGTGACAGGAAAACCTGTCTAGACATAATTCATGCGGATAGCAGAGGAAAAAAGTAGCAGAAAGAAATGACACTTACTGCTCTTAATTGAGACAAGTACAAGGGATATGCTTTGTTCATATTTCACGCCTGAGGTTTACAACCATACACAGAATATTACTGGATACTAACATTTATAGGTAAAGTTGATCCAGGGAATATCCGAATGCCTCTCAGGGGATCAGGAATGATTTTTTTTCCCCTGCAGGAGCAAATTGGATCATGCTTTGCTGGTTTCTTTTGCCTTCCTCTGGATTAACTGTGGGTGTAGGATTATAACTTCTTTTTTTGTTTGGTGGTTGAACTGGATGGACTTTTGTCTTTTTTCGGCCAGACTAACTATGTAACCAAATCAATAGATCCAAACAGGAATCTACCCTCTTTCAATAAATAATCCAGCTATATGTGCAACAACAAAATTTTCCCCATATAATTTCTACAAAATCATAAAGTCCAGTGTCTCTGTGATTTAAATCCAATAATATAAAGTCCAGTGTCTCAGTAAAGAAGAAAAAATAATAAAATTCAAAAAGTGTATTTCTTGCAGTGTTGATTGTTGTAAAAAAACTCAAAAATAAAGAAACTCACAATAGTGCATTACCATAATATCACACAAAAAAAAAAAAAAATATTATATATATATATATATAATACATGCACACACAAATGTGTATCATAAAATTGTGCAACCTTTAAGTGAAAAAAATATATATTAAACACTTGTGAAAACCTTCCAAAAAGGAAAGGTAATAAAAACACTCGTGCTCATAAATTATAAAATCATGAAGTGATCCACTTAGTGAGATTCCTACCCACACGTGACACTTCTAGTGAGTAAGGCCAATATACCCTTACCAACAGTAGATAGAACTCACGCCTTTTGTATATATTATCTGGAAATCCTCCAAAGGAACTTTATCCTCCTCTCCTCCTTCGCTTTCTGTTAAGATGATATTACCATGCCTTCCACATACATAGATCTATGAAGCATGACGTACCTCCATATATGTTTAAAGTTTTAATAAATCCACTTGCATTTGGAGTTGAAAACATAAGTAATATAAACAATTTTGGACAAACCCCACTGAGTGGGGATTACCAGGCAGTTCCCACAGTTTCCCAGGCAGTCCACACTCGAGTGTCCAGTGATTCCTCAACAAAGATGGCCGCTGTGACACTTCCGGTTCCTGCTCCTTGCGTATGTCGTCACTTCCTCTCTCTTATGACTAAGTCCCGGATGTGACGAAACGCGTCAAGAGGAAGTGACGACATACGCAAGGAGCAGGAACCGGAAGTGTCACAGCGGCCATCTTTGTTGAGGAATCACTGGACACTCGAGTGTGGACTGCCTGGGAAACTGTGGGAACTGCCTGGTAATCCCCACTCAGTGGGGTTTGTCCAAAATTGTTTTATATTACTTATGTTTTCAACTCCAAATGCAAGTGGATTTATTAAAACTTTAAACATATATGGAGGTACGTCATGCTTCATAGATCTATGTATGTGGAAGGCATGGTAATATCATCTTAACAGAAAGCGAAGGAGGAGAGGAGGATAAAGTTCCTTTGGAGGATTTCCAGATAATATATACAAAAGGCGTGAGTTCTATCTACTGTTGGTAAGGGTATATTGGCCTTACTCACTAGAAGTGTCACGTGTGGGTAGGAATCTCACTAAGTGGATCACTTCATGATTTTATAATTTATGAGCACGAGTGTTTTATTACCTTTCCTTTTTGGAAGGTTTTCACAAGTGTTTTAATATATATTTTTTTCACTTAAAGGTTGCACAATTTTATGATACACATTTGTGTGTGCATGTATTATATATATATATATATATATATATAATATTTTTTTTTTTTTTTTTTTTTTTTTTTGGTAATGCACTATTGTGAGTTTCTTTATTTTTGAGGTTTTTCACAACAATCAACACTGCAAGAAATACACTTTTTGAATTTTATTATTTTTTCTTCTTTACTGAGACACTGGACTTTATATTATTGGATTTAAATCACAGAGACACTGGACTTTATGATTTTGTAGAAATTATATGGGGAAAATTTTGTTGTTGCACATATAGCTGGATTATTTATTGAAAGAGGGTAGATTCCTGTTTGGATCTATTGATTTGAGTTTAAGCTTTTAGGGGTTGAAAGTTTTTTCCAATTTGGAATTAGTGTAGGTGAAAGGGTGTTTTTTGTTTTCACATTATATTTATATCATTTTCACATTATATTTATAACTATGTAACCACTTTATGGAAACCCAACTATAGAACCTTCCACTCGCCTTTTTGGGCCTTATCATAGAGTTCGATTATTAAGCCAACAAGGTGGTGTAAAACACTTCACAGTATGAGAATCCAGGCAGGGTTTATTTGGTCTCTGTGGGGATCAATAAATATTATTGAAACACTGGTAATGTGGTGTGAGGCCAGGCTTCTTCTCAAGCCATTGCTGACCTCCTTCTGAAAATGCAAGCTGGATTCAATACATTAAAACTTTGAAGTCAGCGCCTAGCCTGCATATGTTTCCTGGGTCAGTGACTCAGAAAGTATTGAAGCTATGTGATAAACATGACAGTAAAAAATGTAGGCAATGGCAGCCTCTACAATTTCTCAGGAAAGGGTCACTTACAAGAAGGAGGACCACTGTCTGTCCTCATAATTCACTATGAGAACTGCTGACAAAGATTCACACTGAGAAAACATTTCTACTCAAGAAGCATGGCCAGACAATATGATCTCCAGTGGGAATGAATCTCAGGCCTCACAACCCAGAGCGAGAAAAAGCAAGTTTACCAAATTTATATGAAAGCATCAGTCTACCCAAAAGTGGAAGTTTACTTTTAGGTGGAATGCAGTATGGATGGAGTCAGTGTTGAATACTCAAGCAGCAATATCTCCCTGAGGTAATTTCCATGTGTTTCCTGTCCACCTGTGAGTTTTGGGTTCAATACTTTGCTTCATGGTGTGGCAAGAATTATACACCCTGTCGAGTGTGGGGGGCAGTACCGTCTGCTGAGCATGAAACATTCAAGTGAATGGGGCTGTGCTTCAACTGGGCTGCAATGCACACGTTGCAGTGCGGTGGTGTGGGCTTTCAGAGGTTAAAATAGGTGGTGAGTAGGCTACATAATGCCTGTCAAACAGCTCCTGAAACAGCAATTCTTGCTGCTCTTCAGAGAAAAAAGCTTGTGCAAAGTGGACAAATGCAGCATAGTAAATGTCTGTACAGAAGATACACTTTGTAAAAAGGGCCCAAAAATGGGAATAGCTAAAATTAGCATTCCCTCCTCTAAAACAGTATGATCTGGCTGTAGTGAAGTTAAGGGACTTTCCACCACACAATGCAGAGAAACAGCCAAGAGAAATATAACTGAGATGCTGGCTACTTCTCGTTACGATGGAATTGATAAAGATTATTAAACGTCTTTACGGAATGTTACAGTATTTTGAGTAACATTTAAAACATTTGTTTACAAGGGTGTCAGTCGGACATATATGTGTCATCACTCCCATTCACACATATTGCTTTTTATTCCATTTCATTTTGCCAAAATAAACCGCTTAGCTCATAAGTTAGAAAGACTTTC